ACCCACACCCACACCCACACCCACACCCACACCCACACCCACCCCGTGTTGATGGAAATGACGATACCACCATTGTCGATAGATGCGGGGATTTCTCGCTGCCCATTTGCCGATGTCGCGCTGCATGGTAACGAAGAAGTTGAGGCAGAAATTCTTTTTTCCACTGGTACTCTGTTCCGCATAGGAAAAGTAGAGATGACAAGCCGTGACCCATTTCCATTATTTACCGTACCTCTAACATTAACTCATGATCTCGATTTTGATGACGAGGAAATTAAAAACTTTATCCTGTATTTGAGAAGGAAATACGATCAAATTCCTTTCACACTGCTTGCACTCTCGCATCTAATGCTGGAGATAGGTGATTATGATCGAGCAGAGGAGTTCATCTATCAGTTAATTCACCAATCAGCTACAGCGAGCCACCTAATTGGTCCAGCATTTTCTTTGCTCGGACAAATGTTTGTGAAACAAGAAGAATATGTTAGAGCGTTTTGTGCCCTCGAACAAGCACTGAAGTATTTATCGCTTGACGATCGATACACATTATCTGATACCTGGGCAGCTCTCGGTCAAGTGCATTTAAAGCGTGGTGATTTCGATCAAGCGTTGATTTATACTAGGAAAGCAGTAGAAAGTTCTGGCACTCCTGAACAGATCATTCTCCGACGTCTCGAACTCAGTGTCATTCACCAAGAACGGGGTGAATGGAACGAGGCGAAATCTCATCTTAGTAAGGCTCACGATCAACTTCAAGTTCATCTGCCTGGAAAGCATCCTACATGGATTGAGTACCGCAAACAGATGGGGCAGATCAATCTTGCTCAAGGAAAAACCACCGATGCTTCATTATTGTTCTTAATAGCTCTACGTGATCCAACAATGATATTACCCAACCAACACCTAAGTATAGTCAGCATCGGTCAACAAATAGCTGATGTTTGCGAGAGGATGGGAGATTCGACTATGGCTGAGGTGCTCTCCGGTCTAACTGTAATGATTGCTCAGAATCTTCCGAAACACCATAAAACAGTTCAAGAAGCCGAACAGAAATTCATGGATATTTTGCCAAGACTGATGGATCCATCACCAGAACGAAACGAGATGCTGTAACTCTACCTTCGTTGTGGCATATCTGATCTCTTTATATTAATTACTTCGAAGCGACCATGTCTCTGTATATGTCGACAAAAATTCTGTTGCTATTCTTGCTTGTGCACCAACATTCTTCGAAAGAGAAATATTTCACATTTATCCTTTCTGTGACCAAAGCGAATTCATCGTCCATATGAACAGAAATGGTGTCTAACTAGAATTTTTTGCTGGATAAACAAAGCTTCGTTGTTGAAATCAGCAGCACGGAACTGGTATGAAAAATTTTTGAAATTTGCTAGGCTCGTGGTGCAAAGGGCTTCCATCTCTGCCCAAGACTAGACTGCACAATCGCACTGTTTCCTTGATTTATCTCACTCTACCTGATATGTGAACTGACTGGTTGGTTGCCTGATCATTCGGGTGGCTGAAGAGGGTATTTTTTTTTAGAGAGAAAGTAGGGTGGGGTATGGATGTGGGTGTGGGATGTGGATGCGGATGTGAGTGCTGTGCTGGTGTGGGTGTGGATAAGGTGTAGATGTGGATATGGTGTGGATGTGGATGTGTGGGTGCCGGGTGCGGGCGTGGGTGTGGATGCCGGGCGTGGGAGTGGGTGTGAGTGTGATTGGGTGTGGATGTGGCTGAAGATAAGATCTACAACCACGCACCCAGATCCAACGCACCCCACTCCACCCACACCCACACCTCACACCCACACACACACCCACACCCACACCCACACCCACCCAGACCCAGACCCACACCCACACCCTCATTGTTATTGCGTAGTTTGAAATAAGCTTCTAATTTGGTTGTAGACAGTATTGGATGATAACAATTATTTATAAATAATTGTACGTATTTCTTTTAATCATTTGTGAGTAGCAAATGTCTTTTAGCAAGAGCGATATTGGCTTTGTATTTTGAGATTACTGAAGCATTACTTGATGATGCTTTTAAAACAAGATCGAGTGCCTTTTCATAGTTCTCTAAAGCCATTTTATGATTTGATAAAATACTACGGGCAGTGCCAATATTATTATAAACAATAGCCAGATCCGCATAATCAGCTGAGAACATGCTTGAATGTAGTGTTAATTTTAAGGACTTTCGATAATAATTTAAAGCCAGTTTAGATTTATTAGATTGAATGTAGATGCCAGCCATATTATTATAAATTTTAGAAAGTAAATTCGTGCGAGATAGTTTTTGCTCTCTATATTCCTTCAATGCTTTTTTATAAAACTTTATTGCTTTCGTATGTTCGGCTTTATCATCATAGACCGATGCGATGTGATAATAAATTACTGTTGCATCACTTTTTCGATTTTTACAAATAGTCAATGCTTTTTTATGATTGATTAATGCTTGTGAATAATATCGTTTTGTGTGATAGATTGAGCCTGCTCTCTCGTAAACATCGTCAATGATTGAATCAATTTTCGATGGATACTTCAAAGCATTTAGATAATTTTCAAGTGCCATGTCAAGATCTTTTTTATCGTCATAAATTAATCCTATTTGATAATACAATGATCCTAGCTCTGGATTGTCATTCGCAGCATACTTCAATGCATTTTGGTAATAAATCAATGCGGTTTGATGATCGCCTTTAGCATGATAAATTGAACCAATACTTATACAAGTTGATGCTAAATAAATTGATTCAGATTTCATTTGCAAATCTAAAGCTTCCTTGAAATATTCCAAAGCTTTATCGTTATCGCCTTGTTTGCTGTAGATAAATGCCGTAGTACTCAATGTTTCCTCAATTAAAGAATGATCCGAAGTTAAACATCTTCTTCGGATCTCAAGTGATTTTTCGAATTGGATCAGTGCGGTAGTGTAATCATCTTTTTTATCGTACATTTGCCCGAGACCAAAATAAATTTTGGCTACATCTAAACTTGAATTGGACTTATTAGCTTTATACTCGAATTTTAAAGCTTTGTTGTAATATTTCATTGCAAGATTGATTTTTGATTTATTATGGTAGACAGTAGCAATATCATAATAAACCATAGCTAGTAACTTGCTTTTTCCAGGAGATGTTGATGCTAATATAAGGCCTTTTCGGAAGTATTTTAAGGCTAGTTTATACTTATTTTGATCGCTAAATAGTACACCAATGTTACAATATGAAATAACTATTTCTGCCTGTGCTCGAGAGGTGGACAATAAATTGTATCGAATTTTTAATGCTTTCTTGTGATGAATCAGAGCCGATGTAAAATCACCTAAATCACTAAAACATTCGCCAATGTTGTTATAAATAGTTGCTATTTCTATATGATTTGAAGGCAAACAATTTAATAATATGTCTAGTGATTTTTGGTGATATTCTAAGGCCTTTTCATGTTCGTTATTGTAATCATAGAATTGCGCAAGATTACTATAACTTACTGCTAAACTTCGATGATTACTTGGCAAAGATTTTAATCTAATGTCAAGGCCTTTTTCCAAGTAAATTCGAGCTTTTTTAATATTCTGCATTGAAAGATAAACTTCTCCGATATTATTATATGTACTTCCTAGGTGTGGATCAGCTTCTGGATAGTGTTGTCTTTCGATTGCCAAAGCTTTTCTATGACATCTTAAAGCTATTTTTTTCTTTCCGATTTCATTATAAACACTTCCTAAATGCTTGTACGTAATCGCAAGATGATTTTTATAGAATGGTTGATGTTTTCGTCGAATTCGTAATGTTTTTTGGTGATACTTTAATGATTGACAATAATCGCCTAATTCAAAATAAACATATCCAATATCGTTAAAGATAGCTGCACGCTGAACAAAATCAGATGGCATTAATAATCGATGTAAGTTCAATGCTTGTTGGTGAGTTTCTAAAGCTTGTAAATATTGCCCTTTTTCTCTATATACTCCTCCAAGATCATTTTTAATTGTTATTACATCGGGATGATCAGTTGGTAATTCATTAAGTAATAAAGTATAAAATTCTTCTGCTTTATCTAAATCATCCATTTCCAATAGAAATTTCGCTAATGTCAGAACATCAGCTGTCTCATCAATTTCAGATTTAAGACTATCAATAAGTTCATCTTTGATTGAATTGATTTCATCTTCACATAAAATTAAAGTAACAAGCCAGATTTTATCAGTTAATTGTTCAACGGATTCAATTTGGAATATTGCTCCGATTGTAAATAAGATTTCATCTTCTGTTTTTAAATAACTATATTTTTGTATATTAGCAAATGGCTTTGTGGAAGTCTTGATAGGACATTCAATTTGAAATAGAACTGATTCAAATAATGGTCGACCAGTACCATTACCAGCAAAATCTAATGCCACTTCAGACGAAAGACTTGCCGATATAAAACTATTCATTGCTATTCGACCGTTGATGTTATTTTTTAGGTCATTTAATTCATCAATCTTCAATCCCTGTCCACGATAAACAGTTAAACTTTTAGTATCATCTAATGATTGGATATATTTATTGTGCAAATATGTTAATCGATGATGAAGATCGACAAGAACGAAGCGAAATCGAAATATGATTGAGATATCTCGGGTTCTTAATGCTCGATTGAGTAAACGATAAAGAAATGCATCCCGTGTATACCACTCGATGACATTATCTGTATTATAAGTTTCTTCAAATTCTTGGATTTTACGTAATTCAATTGGATCTTCTTGATATTCTTTCCGACATTCATTCAAAAGATCTTTTCGTGAGACAGATGTTAATGGCATACGATTTAATATTTCAATTAATAATCCATACCATATAAACGAAGCTTCTTCTTTACTCAAATCATGAACCGATTTTTCTTCTTTTTTTACTTTTTCTGGGATCATTAAAATTGGAATTGTTTTTGTATAAAAGTCAACATCTTCATTTAGTTTTGTCAAAAGTTCATGTTTATCAATAAAAACTCCTCGAATTTTATTTGAATAAGATTTTATCCATCCTTCATGTTTTTCTCTATCTTCACAAAATATGTAAATGAATAGAATATTTGTTTGATCATTAATCAATGGCACTATTTTTCGACCAGATGAACCTGGAAGAACAAGAAATAATTTTCTCAAGTTGTTTTTGATTGAGAGTAAATAATTAATACATGAATTAGTATCATTAAATTTTTGTAAATAATTTCCAATAGAGCGTAAGCGTGCTTTTCTATTCAGATAATCATTATTCTTCGGATCAAGCCAAGCAACTGTTATACTTGGAATACTATTTGATAGATTATTAAATTTGGATTTCTTGGTAAATCGTGATCGAGATGTATGAACATATAATTTTCTTTTCTGCTTGTTCTTCATTGAAAACTGAACGTTTGATTATTGCTGTCTTAGCTTTCGCCGGTTTGTTGCGAAAAAATCAAACTTTCTTATCCAAAAAGAAATAACAACCGTTATTTTTTTATACGAAATGTTTCTATGTCAAAAGAATCAACACAGTTTTATTCTTTCCTTCGCACGCTGCTGCCGACTGTAAAAAAAGAAAGCAGCAGTCGGCTGACAGCACACACATGATGTTTTTTTCTTGAGGGTGAGTTGAATGAGGAATAAAGGATTAAAAGCATACCACACGACACGTTTCGACTGTTGCTTAGGCAGTCTCATCAAGTATGTTTATAATCAAAAACTACATCAGTAAATTCAAACTTACATATTGAATAAAAACCACAACTATCGAAATAGTATGATGCGATATTCAAAGGTTCGAAAATAGAGCGGGTATGGATGTAGGTGAGTGTGAGTGCGGGTGTGAGCGAGTGCGAGTGCGGGTATGGGTGGAGGTGGGGTGTGGCTGTGGATGTGTTGGTATCGGTGTGTATGGGTCAAGAATAGAATAACGCTCACCCACACTGACACCCATACCCACTCACCACTCACACCCGCACCTCAGATCCACACCCACACCCACATCCACAGTCACACTCTCCATAGATAAGCCAAATCACATACAAATGAATTTCCTGACCCAACCCAAACCAATTCGATCGAATCCAACTCAAGACAAGTAGATATCATTTTTATATCATTTACATATTAAAATGGATTTCCTCGCCGAGCTTGATGCAACGGAACTCCAACTGAAAGTATATAATATATAGGATATATATATTTCGTATCAAAATGTGTCTTGACTTAATCAAAATCAAAACAATGGATGTCTTGAGGGCAGGTGAGTGTGGGTGAAGAAGACATCCACCCATGGATCCACACCCTTTCCCACCCACTCACACTCTCAAGAAACATCGCCATTTCACCTAAACCACACCTTCACTCACCCACCCTTGAGCGTTGATTATAAGGATTGCAATAATCTTCGACAAGAAAATATTAAAGAGTGCGTGCAATAAGAAGATTATAAAAATCACTTGATTGTTTTATTAATGGGTCCAGTGAGCACCGATCGACTGTAGTATCAGTCAGTTATGTTATTGATCTTCATTCGAACAAGTCATATATGACGTGGGTGTGGTGTGGGTGTGGGTGTGGGTGTGGGTGTGGGTGTGGGTGTGGGTGTGGGTGTGGGT